TTGCCTTCTGCTAGCTTTTGAATTTGTTTGCTCTTGCTTCTCTAGTTCTTCTAATTGTGATTCTAGGGTGTCAATTTTAGATCTTTGCTGCTTTCTCTTATGGGCATTTAGTGCTATAAATTTCCCTCTACACACTGGTTTAAGTGTGTCCCAGAGATCTGGTACGTTGTGTCTTTGTTCTCATTGGTTTCACAAAACATATTTATTTCTGCCTTCATTTCATTATTTACCCAGTAGTCATTCAGGAGCAGGTTGTTCAGTTTCCATGTAGTTGAGTGGTTTTAAGTGAGATTTTTAATCCTGAGTTCTAATTTGATTGCACTGTCGTCTGAGGGACAGTTTGTTGTGATTTCTTTTGTTTTACATTTGCTGAGGAGTGCTTTACATCAAACTACGTAGTCAATTTTTGAATAAGTGTGATGTGATGCTGAGAAGAATGTATATTGTGTTGATTTGGGGTGGAGAGTTCTGTAGATGTCTGTTAGTTCCACTTGGTGCAAAGCTGAGTTCACGTCCTGGATATCATTGTTAACCTTCTGTCTCATTGCTCTGTTTAATATTGACAGTGGGGTGTTGAAGTCTCCCATTATTATTGTGTGGGAGTCTAAGTCTCTTTGTAGTTCTCTAAGGACTTGCTTTATTAATCTGGGTGTTCCTGTATTGGATGCATATATATTTATGATAGCTAGCTCTTCTTGTGGAATTGATCCCTTTACCATTATGTAAATGGCCTTCTTTGTCTCTTGATCTTTGTTGGTTTAAAGTCTGTTTTATCAGAGACTAGGATTACAACCCCTGCTTTTTTTTTGCTTTCCACTTGCTTGGTAGATCTCCTTCCATCCCTTTATTTTGAGCCTATGTGTGTCTCTGCACATGAGATGAGTCTCCTGAATACACTGATGGATCTTGACTCTTTATCCAATTTGCCAGTATGTGTCTTTTAATTGGGGCATTTAGCCCATTTACATTTAAGGTTAATATTGTTATGTGTGAATTTGATCCAGTCATTATGATGTTAGCTGCTTATTTTGCCTGTTAGTTGATGCAGTTTCTTCCTAGCATTGACAGTCTTTACAATTTGGCATGTTTTTGCAGTGGCTAGTACCAGTTGTTCCTTTACATGTTTAGTGCTTCCTTCGGGAGCTCTTGTAAGGCAGGCCTGGTGGTGACAAAGTCTCTCAGCATTTCCTTGTCTGTAAAGGATTTTATTTCTACTTCATTTATGAAGGTTAGTTTGGCTAGATATGAAATTCTGGGTTGAAAATTCTTTTCTTTAAGAATGTTGAATACTGGCCCCCTCTCTTTTCTGACTTGTAGAGTTTCAACTGAGAGATCTGCTGTTAGTCTGATGGACTTTCCTTTGTGGGTAACCAGACCTTTCTCTCTGGCTGCCCTTAACATTTTTTCCTTCATTTCAACCTTGTTGAATCTGACAATTATGTGTCTTGGGGTTGCTCTTCTCAAGGAGTATCTTTGTGGTGTTCTCTGTGTTTCCTGAATTTGAATGTTGGCCTGCCTATATCCTGAAGAGTGTTTTCCAACTTGGTTCCATTCTCCCTGTCACTTTCAGGTACACTAATCAAATGTAGATTTGGTCTTTTCACATAGTCGCATATTTCTTGGAGACTTTGTTCATTTCTTTTTACTCTTTTTTTCTAAACTTCTCTTCTAGCTTCATTTCATTAATTTGATCTTCAATCACTGATACCTTTTCTTCCACTTGATTGAATCAGTTATTGAAGCTTGAAGCTTGTGCATGCATGACATAGTTCTCGTGCTATGGCTTTCAGCTCCATCAGGTCATTTAAGGTCTTCTCTACACTGTTTATTCTAGTTAGCCATTCATCTAATCTTTTTTCAAGGTTTTTGGATTCCTTGGAATGGGTTTGAACATCATCCCCCTTTAGCTCAGAGAAGTTTGACCTTCTGAAGCCTTCTTCTGCCAACTCATCAAAGTCATTCTCCATCGAGCTTTGGTTAATTGCTGGTGAGGAGCTGCAATCCTTTGGAGGAGAAGAGGCACTCTGCTTTTTAGAATTTTCAGCTTTTCTGCTCTGGTTTCTCCCCATCTTTGTGGTTTTATCTACCTTTGGTCTTTGATGATGGTGACCTACTGATGGGGTTTTGGTGTGGATGTCCTTTCCATTGATGTGGATGCCATTGCTTTCTGTTTGTTAGTTTTCCTCCTAACAGTCAGGTCCCTCAGCTGCAGGTCTATTGGAGTTTGCTGGAGGTCCACTCCAGACCTTGTTTGCCTGGGTATCACCAGCAGAGGCTACAGAACAGAAAATATTGCAGAACAGGAAATATTGCTGTCTGGTCCTTCTCCTGGAAGCTTTGTCCCAGAGGGGCACCCAGCTATATGAGGTGTCAATTGACCTCTACTGGGAGGTGTCTCCCGGTTAGGCTACATGGGTGTCAGGGACCCACTTCAGGAGGCAGTCTGTTCTCAGATCTCAAACATTGTGCTGGGAGAACCACTGCTCTCTTCAGAGCTGTCAGACAGGGATATTTAAGTCTGCAGAGGTTTCCATTGCCTTGTTCAGCTATACCCTGTCCCCCTTGGTGGAGTCTACAGAGGCAGGCAAGCCTTGTTGAGCTGCGGTGGGTTCCAACCAGCTCGAGTTTCCTGGCCATGTTGTTTACCTACTCAAGCCTCAGCAATGGTGGATGCCCCTCCCCCAGCCAAGCTGCTGCCTTGCAGCTCGATCTTGGACTGCTGCGCTAGCAGTGAGCAAAGCTCCGTGGGCATGGGACCCACTGAACCAGGCTTGGGATATACTCTCCTGGTGTGCCATTTACTAAGACCATTAGAAAAGCCCAGTATTTGGGCGGCAGTGTCCTGATTTTCCAGGTACGGTCTGTCATGGCTTCCCTTGGCTAGGAAAGGGAAATCCATGACCCCTTGCACTTCCTGGGTGAGGCAATGCCCCGCCCGGCTTCAACTTGCCCTCTGTGGGCTGCACTCACTGTCCAACCAGTCCCAGTGAGATGAACCAGGTACCTCAGTTGGAAATGCAGAAATCACCCATCTTCTGCATTTATCACGCTGGGAGCTGTAGACCGGAGCTGTTGATATTCGGCCATCTTGGAATGCCTGCAGTTTATTTTTAATACCAACTTTCCAAATTTCAAGAACTCCCTTTTTCTGTCAGCAAGATTTAATTGTAATCAAAGAGTTTTAGTATTAGTATCTTGTGCCTGCTATGAAATTATAAAATCTATTAGACACTCACAACCAAGATGTTGCTGATTGTCCTCAGCCAGCTCCCCCTGAGGAGAACTAGTGGAGAATCCTGTCTCTACTGTCTCATGGAATGGAGAAGAATGGTAAATAGAAGAAGCAGGAATTTAAAAAGTGGGAAAATATCAATTTTACATATAACCAAATATTTTCTTTAAAATTTACCAAAAATTGTTAAACCCTAAGACGTATTCAACATGTTTTGCCAGAAATAATCAATTGTCTGGCTGTTTTGCTCAATAAATTTCAACAAATGTAGGCAAGGAAGGAGGATTCAGATGAGATTCCATTCTCCTTTTCCTTTTGTCCCAATTTGTTACTCACAGCGTCCTTGAACCTCCTCATTCTGCTGTTGCTTATGAGGGTGAAGGCTGTGTGAGGTGACAGGAACATAAACCAGGGCACTGACCTGACACAATATTTCACACCTATACACCCAGAAGGTTGGGAGGCCACGTCAGGTGAGTGACTTGAGTCCATGGGCTTGACAACAGGCTGGGCAACATGGTGAAGTACTGATGCTATGAAAAATATAAAAATTAACCATGCTTAGTGGCATGCACCTGTCGTCCCAGAGTCCTCAGAAGCAAACTCTGACCTGATTCCTCCAACAGCCTCCTCTTCTGCGGTCTCAGAGACCCTGCTGAGCTGCTCCCAAGACAAGCAGTGCATGTGAGCAGCTGGGACACCCCAGCAGAGAGGTTTCTGTTTGGGGATGTACCACTGTGGGAGGAAGCTGTGTACTTTGCATGCAATAATAAACCCCAATATCCTCAGCCTCCACCCTGCTGATTTCTAGTGTGAAATCAGTGCCTGACCCACTGCCACTGAACCTGTCTGGGACTCCAGAGGCCCGGTATGAAGCAAAATACATCAGGAGCTGTGGAGAGTGGCCCGGCTTCTGCAGGTACCAATACAAATAGTTGTATCCATTACTATGCAGGAGGCTCTGACTAGACCTGCAGGAGATGGAGGCCGGCTCTCCAGGGGTGACGGGCAGGGAGAGTGGAGTCTGGGTCATCACAATGTCCCCACTGGATCCTGAAATAATAACAGAGAAGTGCAAGGTTATATAGACCATTATGAGCAACTTTCATGATTTCCCGTAAGATTTTGATTTATGGTTACATATTTTTAAAGTTTTGATTTATATCATAAAAAATAGACTTTCTAAAATGAATCCAGTATTTATTAGCCAGCAGGGAACCCTCTATTTTCAAAATCTTAACCAGAGCACTGATCATTGTTCCTGGGAGATGATTCATGCTTATTCCTGAGAGAAAAACATGAATTATCTTTGCTGGAGCATAGACCATGTGCCTGTACACATGGTTGAAATAAATATAGAAAGCTGTGGAGCCCACAGAACTCACCCTCCCACTCTGTTTTCCCACCTCATTTTAATCCTATCCTTACCAGGGAGCCAGAGCACTAACAGCCCCAGGAGCTGAGCAGGGAGCCTCATTGTGAGAAGGTGACCTGAGGAGTCCTAATCAGTCAAGGCAAGGTTAGAGCTGAGCTTTTATCTCAGACTCACAAGGGAAGGTCCTCCCTAGGGGACAGTATGCAAATCCCCTGGTGGGTGCAGTGGTGTGGAAAACGTTGATGGGGCAGGGGGAATGTCTCTTCTGTGAACAATGTGACATAAAATGTTTGTTGGAGCAAAACAAACATAGTTCAAGTCAAGTTTGCATGTGGTCAAGGGAAGAAGGCTCTGACTGTGCTAGTTGGGACCTTGGGCAGGGACACATTGTGCAGGGCATGCCACACTGAGAAAGCACAAGGACCCTGACAATGTGGAAATGTGTTTCCAGGCTGCATCTCTGGGAGGTGAATGCCATCCTGCATGACTCCCTCCAGTCAGTCTAGAGAAGAAAACAGCCCCATTCCCACAAGCACAGACGGGCAGAGGGCCTGCAAATGAAAAGTGCTCCTGAGCCAGTTCAAGTGTTGCCTGGTGTCTGCTGTTTCCAGTATAACTGTTGAAGATCTTTCAATGCAAGTGTTAGAATCTCCGTTTCCCTGGGACCTGGTAAGTAGGTCCCAAAAGAGTGTTCTGTCTGAGGGCCTCAAAGGGCGAATGATGTGGGTCTTTACGTTTAGAACCAAGAGCCCAGCATAAGTAAGAGGAAAAGGTACAAGAATGTTGTGTCTTAGGCAGTGAATGTAAAATTCGTGGTGACCAACTGTTCAGTCTGGGGTAATCCCATCATAATCATCTCACATATACAAGATTAACCAGCAGGCTCTCATAGGTAAGAATGTCCTTGGTTAATGATACAGACCAGTAAGAAATCACATTGCATGATGTTTTCCCGAGTGGTGCTTCGGAAAACTCTCTTCACACAATCTCCCTGGTCATGTGGGATCAGGTTTTATCAGGGCTTCCAGGTTGTTGCTAACATTGAGTGACACCTGAATCACCCCCAGCCTAGATGTGGTGCAGTCACAGCCATGAGTCTGCTGTTCGGAAGGGAATTGTCTACATGAGAAGCACAAGGACTGCATCTACAGTCTGATGTCTCAGGGTAACCTGTACCTGAAACTGACATTTTCATGGTTTCATGTAAAGATGCACACAGCTCAGGGATGTGAATCTGCCCCACAGCTGATCATTACAAAAGGAAACAATCTCATGTTTCTTCATTTTTTAGTGATGTGCTTAATATTTAATTGAACGGCTCCTGAATAATGGTGCTGACACCAAACACCATCACAAGGACAATGACATTTCTGGAAAAAAAAAAAAAATTCCGGTAACAATTGAAAGACTAGCTTGCAGTGCTATGTAATCTTGAGTAATTTAGCAGAAATTTACATTTAATTGCCCAAGAATGCAAACAAATTTAGTTCTAGGTAAGATTCCAGAGGAAGGCTTGGTTTAAATATCTTCCGGGATATCTACCAAAATAACATCTTTTTCAAGACTGGAAAAAATAATTGAATAGCAATGATATTAATCTTTAAATATTGAACTCCATTGCAATAATGTGGGTTAAGGAGATCGAATTGTGCTTAAGAGGTTGGATTAGAATAAAGGCTCATATTATACTATTTCAATTTTATTTACTCTTTTCTCATTAAATTGAATAACTTTCATGTACCTGACTTTTTCTTTTCTTATGTTATTAACCAAGTCTAATCTGCTTCTAAGTCTTTAAAAAGTCAGACTCCTAATTAATGAAAATAGTGGAAAAAAGAAACATCAGAGGCAGTAGAAAAAGAAAAAGAAAACACAAAACAATCAGCCAAACTAACATAGAGCGAGATGGTGCATCTCATTGCAAGTTCTAAATAATTATTCTCAAAGGGTGTTAAGTGAAGAATCAGTTCTATCCATTATCCAATATGGAAACTTGAATTGCAGGAAAGTGAGTAACAGCAAAAAAATTGTCATGATTTCTTTTACTAAAAGTCAATTATTGAAAAGGCTATTTTTGCAAAATATTCTTTAAGGTGTATGAATTTAAGACAGCCTTGATATTTCCTATGAAACTTATGCCAAGACTTTGACAACAGCAGGAGAAGCCAGTCACTTCACAGTGGACAAAGATCAGAAGATGTCAAAACCACCTCCATTCGGATCTAGGTGTACAACAGGCCTCTGTGTCTCTAACATGAACCATGGTCACCCGAATGAGGGAGGACTTATACAGGTGGGGTTTATTGTGGCTGTGTCTCCTTTTCCTGGTGCAGTTAGTTTGGGGTCCATAGAATTGGGAGCAATTGCATTATTAATAGGACTTGGGAAGAGAGTCTTAGAAGTGGAATTGTTTGTGTTCATGACCCTGGAGTCAGTGTTTGGGGTGGACACTGTGATCTGATTTGTAGGGGATTGGAAGGACTTGTGGGCTGAGCAAGGAGAAGAGATGACCACGGGGGCAGTCGCATACATGACTTTATTGAGTGAGGCTTTGACAGGTTTGCAGAGACAAGTTTCTCCCAGCAGGAATCTGTACAGAGAATAAGATGCCAGGGTTGCTTCTCAAAACAGATAGGTCACTGGACAAGGGGCTGTATGTCTGGGGGACGCTGAACAGCAGCACAGTGGGGAGTTTCTGGTTTAAGGTTTGCATAACTGGGGTTTATCTTATTGCTAGCAGAAGTGGTTGAAATTTTCTCGACATGCAAAGTAAGTATATTCTAGAAGATTAAAAACATTCTTCCTTGGGGTGTTTTTAAAATAATTGCATTTAAAATTTGAGTTTGAAACAGGCCATTAAGAAGTAAACACAGTTTTGAAATAAACTACATAGGGGCCAGGACACATGGGTCATCTTTAATTCATTTATATATCACTGTTTCCAACTCTGTAGACTTTGTTCTACAGACGGTATTAGTCCAAAGTGTCTAAATCAACACTACCGTGGATGAGGTTGAGAAACACAGAGGCCTGTTCCCCGCCTGGGCCACAATGAAGATTAAAGGGGAGAGTTTTTTTCACAATGAAGATTAAAGGGGAGAGATTTTTGATTAAAGGGGAGAGTTTCTCTTTGGTTGAGAATTAAGACAAGGTCACCCACGGAGCGTCCCTTTGTGAAGCTGCAGGTCCTGTGACTGGATTCCTGGCTGCAAGGAACCTGGGGTGGAAGCTGTCTGCATTATCTCACTAACTGTAAATTGTCACTCACTGGAGCATCGATTCACAGATAAACACTCTGGAACACAGAGAGCTCAGGGAATGAAGGCCCCGTGAATGTGTATCTTCTGCTTCTGAGAATCCATCTCTCCGGCACTGGAAGAAACAGGGTTGTTCATATGTTGCACTTTCAGACTCTGTTGTAGACCTGTCTAAGCTGAACCTGTTTCCAAATGGTCGAAGTATTGTTTTTTACTTTTTCTTGGAAAAAAATGTTTAGAAATCCTGTAAAACTGTACTCACAGCTGTGGGATTAAGTGGTGCGCTTTTCCTCTGTGCTTGTTAATGTTTCTGCCAAGCCCACCTCACTTACAAACAAACTGCACAAAGTGAAGCAATGATTCTGTTTCCTTCCTGAGAATTCTGTGTCCAAGTCACTTCAATCTCTGTGTCTGTCTTCAAATTGGCTTCTCTTCTGCAGGCTTTGTTAAAATGTCTATCTCTATCTTATAAGGAAAATCTTGATGTCCTTACAGGATGGAGATAGACAGACATTTAACAAAGACTTTTTATTGACCACTTGGACCAGGGCCCATCTGGTCAATACACGATAATCTGCCCATTTCATAATCCTTAATTTACGTGTTTGATTAAATTCTGATGAGAAAGCAAAATGGGCTAAAAATTTCATCCTCAAGGAAACATTCATGTTTAATGCACAGAAACTGAAGATGAAGCCTGAGTTCTCCTTCCTCACCAGAGAGTTGGAAAAGCAGTAGGAAGAGGAGCAAAGCTGGGTCCTGACGTCCCCGAGGGCCTCCTGAGGCTGCTCCTGCTCACAGAGAGTGGAGAAGGTGGATGAGTCAGCTTGCGCTGCCACACCAAAAACACGGGGCTGGATGGCGTAAACCACAGCATTTAATTTCCACATTTCTGGTGCCCCCAGACGGATGTCCAGCAGAGTTTGTCTTCTGGTAAAAACCTTCGTCCTGGTTTGCAGATACCACCTTCTCACCATGTCTTCCCACAGCCTTTCCATGGAGCGGAAGGTAGTTAGAGAGAGAGAAGAAAAAGGAGAGCTCTCTGGACCTTGTAAAAACATGAATCCTGCTGGATCAGAGACCCCCCCGATTATGACCTCAATTACGTCTTTAGAGGTCCTAATTTCAACAGTCACATTGAAAATTAGGGTTTCAACATGAATATGAGGGCTAAATTCAGTCCATAGCAGGTGGGACAAAGCCAAGGCCATGCTTCCAGTCTCAGGGCACAGGACAGGTTCCCACAACTCAGCATATGGTGGTTGCTTCTAGGTGCCCAGGTCACAAGAAAGACCTGACTCTAACTCTAGGGCTCCCTGTTGATAATGGGACACCAGCATTCCTACTTTCCCAGTATTCCTGAGACCATGGTGTTGTCTTTTGTTTATCGTGGAGTGTGTTTGCCATCTTCAGGCAGGTCTTTGACATAGCAACTTACAGGACATTTGATTCTGTGATTATGAAAATTAATTATTGATTAATTAATCACAAATAACAAATTAAACAACACATTGAATCAGAAAAAAAGGAGGGTCAAATGAGGAGCGTAAAAGAAGACAGTGTCTTAAAAAGACATATTTCTTTCAAACAAGAACAGTTAGAGTCACAGATTATTTTAACAATGACTTTTTAGCAGCAATTATGAAATAGTAAGTGATAACTTCAAATAGGCTACCACATGTATAAGTTTATAGTCAAAAGTATTTTCAAGAATCATATAAACACATTTTCAGATTAAAACAAACAAACAACGAATGTGGGTTTATCAGCAGGTTCAGATCCACTCAATGGAAAATGTCTCAAATGTGTGATTGAGTCAAAAGTACATTTGTCGTTGATGGAAAGTTCGAGGTTTAATTTGTTTCTATTTTTGTTTTTGGTCCTTAGAAGAAAGCAGTTTTCTTTCCACTCAGTTCCACCTCATGCTGCTGAGGATGAACATGGGGGAAGTCACTGTGAGGAAGGAGGAAGGCTGTGTTCTGAGGGTGGTTGTGCCTCCTGCCCACCTGAGTGACCTTATAGAGAAGAGCCACCCACAACACCAAGGCCACCTGCCTGCCTCTGCACTGCCATGGCACAGATACAGAAACCTTGTCACATTAAGTCCACCATATTTTGAGGCTTCTTTGTAATAAATTTGATTATGCTCTGATTCTCCTTGTATCTCTCCCCTTTCAGATTTAGAATCATGTATTTTTCACCATTTTGACTTGAGAATATAGACCTTTGGGAAATCAGCATTATGTAGGTTGTACATTTGTTTGCTTTTCCTAAAAAAAATACCTAACCACCTTGAATGGGTTTTGATTTTATCTTCTGTCTCACAGAAAAGCAGAAACTCAAGGTGACTAGGTGCTGTCAATCACAGGAGGGCTAAAGGTGACAATGGCATTGCTTAGCTCCTGTTCTTGCTACTCATATTTTATTTTCTTTCACTGTATTCTATAATAACATTTAGGTTCAATGATGCATTAATTAGTATTTTTGAATAACATATTAAGTGTCTTATGTTTCTTAATTTGAGGGCTACAGTCTGATAAATATCTACATACATTTTGTCATGGAACTTTTAAACCTAACAGAAATGACACATTGGAATTTTAATTGCACTTCCTATGGAATCTATTGTCTTGAAATAAATCATCTCAAGTATTATTTAAGCCCTTAGCCTGCATCAGAATCTTGTTCTATTAATTCAGGCAGTCTTTAGTGTCTCTATACCATATCATCACATGTAGCAGACATCACTCATTACTCGGATTCACATAAATTTATTTGGCAGAACAATCAGATCATGAATGCAGATTAGTGGTTACACAAGTGAAATGCATGTTAGAAACGACTGGTTTGGGAATAGTTTTCTACATGATAACACTTGGTCGTATTGGGAAATTGTTATCTTCCCACTTTCCAAACATTATCTCTCCTTTACCACTCACACAAAACTGCCCTCTCTAGTATTATGGTGGAGAAAGCACTATTGCTTTTTTAACAGAAAGCATGTCTGTTAGGTTTAAAAGTTGCATGACAAAATGTGTGTAGATATTTATCAGACTGTAACCCTCATATTAAAAAAGTATATAAATTTAGTGCACTATTGTCAATGGAATCTATTAAGAGTGTAACTTTTCTATACATGTACAACTAAAAGAGAAGATTCAGATTCATCTTCAGGAATAAAATAGTGTCATATAAAATAATGCATTTTTTCATATTTTAAACCGTTTTCTTATGACCACATAGTACTAAATATTTATCAGGGGAACCAGCCCCCAATATTTCAATGTAGCTTCTTTTCTATTTTCCATCAGTGTCAGCTGTCTGAGAAATAAAGAGAAAGAGTACAAAGAGAGAAATTTTATAGTTGGGCCTCTGGGGGTGACATCACATATTGGTAGGACCATGAAGGCGACCTTGAGCCACAAAACCAGCAAATTTTTATTAAGGATTTTAAAAGGGGAGTGTGTGTACAAACAGGGAGTAGGTCACAAGGATCACATGCTTCAAAGGGCAATAAAGATCACAAGGCAAGGCAAAATTAGAATTACCGATGAGGGTGTATGTCCTGCTGTGCATGTATTGTCTTGGTAAACATCTTAACAGGCAATAGGGTTCGAGAGCAGAGAATCAGTCTGACTAGAATTTACCAGGCTGGAATTTCCCAATCCTAGTAAGCCTGAGGGTACTACAGGAAACCAGGGGGTATTTCAGGTGTTATCTCAACCACATAAGACAGACACTCCCAGAGCAACCGTCTACAGAATGCCCCCCAGGAATGCATTCCTTCCCCAGGGTTATTCCTTGCTGGGAAAAGAATTCAGCAATATCTCTCCTACTTGCACATCCGTTTATAGGCTTTCTGCAAGAAGAAAAATATGGCTCTATTCTGCCCCACCCCACAGGCAGTCAGACTTTATGGTTATCTTCCCTTATTCCCTGAAAATAGCTGTTATTCTGTTCTTTTTTAAGGTGCACTGATTTCATATTGTTCAAACACACATGTTTTACAATCAATTTGTGCAATAGTGGTTCTGAGGTGATGTACATTCTCAGCTTATGAAGATAATGTGATTAAGAGATTAAAGACAGGCATAAGAAATTATTAAAGTATTAATTTTGGGAATTGATGAGTGTCCATGAAATCTTCACAATTTATGTTCTTCTGCCACGGTTCCAACCAGTCCCTCTGTTTGGGGTCCTTGACTTCCCACAACAATATTTCTTCTCTAAAATACTATGTCAGTAAAATACTTTTAAAATTCTAAGATTTTGAGAAGAAAGTAAAAATCTCATGCAATTCTGCATTTTTCCTGTGGTACATTATATAAACTTTATGTTTTCAATCTGAATTATTTCGTTTATTTTCAAAGCCCACTTTTGGAATTGCAAGAACTCCATTTTCAGTCAGCAAAAGGTAACTGAGGGATGCCAAACTATTTTGGTATTATCGTCTTATATTTGACATGGATATTTAAAATCTGTAAGTGAAAAAAAATCAAATATTTTATCTAATTATTCTTAGCCATATTCCCCTGAGGACAGCTGATGTACAACACTTTCTCCATCATAATACTAGGGAGGGCAGATTCCCGTGAGTGGTAAAGGAGAAGGAAAGTTTGAAAAGTGGGAAGACAGCAATTTCCCAACATGACCAAGTGTACTATATATAAAACTATTCCCAAACCAGTCATTTCTAACATGTGCTTCAATTGAGTTACCACTAACCTGCATCCATGATCTGATTGTTCTGCCAAGTATATGGGCTCAAAAAATGTGGGCAAGAGAGGGAGGGTGAAGAGAGTTTTCATTCACTCTTCCTTCATCAGAGCTGGTTGTTCCCAGAGCACGTGGCCACCAGTGACAGCTGATGGGCCCTTAACATATGGGACTGAAGTGCAGCTGAGGCTCTCATGGGCCAGAGTCCTCAGCAACAAACTGCCCGGAATTCTCCAAGAACCTCCTCTTCTGCAGACCCAGAGACCCTACTGACCTGCTCCCAAGACAAGCAGTGCATGTGAGCAGCTGAGACACCCCAGGATTGAGGTTTTTGTTCAGGGTTGTACCATTGTGGGAGGAAACTGCACAACTTGCATACATTAATAAACCCCAACATCCTCAGCCTCCATCCAGCTAATTTTCAGTGTGAAATCAGTGCCTGTCTCACTGCCACTGAACCTGTCGGGAACTCCAGAGACCTGGTTGGAAACCAAATAGATCAGGAGCTGTGGAGACTGGCCTGACTTCTGCAGGTACCAAAAAATAGGTTTTTCCATCACTGTATACAAGGCTCTGACTAGACCTGCAGGAGATGGAGGCTGGCTTTCCAGGGGTGACAAGCAGGGAGAGTAGAGTTTGGGTCATCATAATATCCCCACTGGACCCTGAAATAATATGAAATAAGTGCAAGGTGATATAGACACATCATGATCAGACTTCATGATTTCCCTTGTGATTTTTATTTTCAGTTACGTAATTTTTTCCAGTTTTCATTTATATCATGAAAACTAGACTTTCTAAAATGAATGCACTATTTACTAGTCAGTAGGAAACTCTTTATTTTCAACATCTTAACCAGAGCACTGGTCATTGTTCCTTGGAGGAGAATCCTGATTATTCATAAGACAATAATATGATTTTTCATTCCTGGAGCATAGACCATGTCCCTCTAACACATGGTTGAAATAAATGTGGGAAGCTGTGGAGCCCCCAGATCTCAGCTTCCTACCCCATTTTCCCACCTTATTTTAATCCTATCCTTACCAGGGAGCCAGAGCATTAGCAGCCCCAGTAACTGAGCAGGGAGCCTCATTGTGAGAAGGTGACCTGAGGAGTCCTGATCAGTCCAGGTAAGGCTAGAACTGAGCTTTTATCTCAGACTCACAAGGGAAGGTACTCCCTAGGGGACAATATCCAAAATCCCTGGTGGGTGCAGTGAGGTGGAAAGAGCTAAGGGAAGGGTGAAGGGGCCTCTCTGGTGAGAAAAGTTCCTTAAATGCCTCCTCTGTTTGGAAGGAAACCAACAGAGATAAATTCTATGCTGCATGAGTAGGATAAATTCCCTGTCCCTTTTGTCTTCTCTCTTAGATTTCTTGTTTCTTAGCACTTCCCAGGGCATTTTTCACTTCTGAGTAAGGTTGAGATTCCATAAGTAATCGATAATTCTTCTTTCTTTGTTCGTATGTATTTGAATCCAGAATTAACTTTTTCAATCTTTTTTTTCTTGAGGTAATACACATACCGAGTAAAGGGCTGAAATGCTAAATATGCAACTAAGTTTTATGTATGTTCTCCATTCCAATGAATCTCTAGAATATTTCAAATTCTCCATATTTGTCCCTCGTGCACCTTCCCAGGCAACAGCTGCTTCCCCATCTCAATCAAGGTAACTGGAATTCAGATATTCATCACAATTGGTTGGTTTTTCCTGTACTGGAGTTTCATATGCATTGAAGGCAACACCTTTTTTTGTCTTTTCCCTGCTTCTTGCTCTTTTCTTTGCTGTTTATGAAATCTTCATTTATTTCTGTGCATTCAACTTACTATCTGCTCTCATTTCCAGTGATTCTGAAAAATTACCTCTTTAATATATAAAGAGCATATCTACAAGAATTCATTTCTCTTCATTTTGTTCATAAAGAAGTGTTTTTACTTTACCGTTATCTTTGAAGCGTATTTTCACTGGATAATGAATCCTTGGTTGAGTCCCCTCCACCTAGCATTTAAATATGCAATCTCACTGTCTTCTTGCCTCTGTTGGTCCCGTAAAGAGTTAACCAAGGTTTTATTACTGTTTCCCTGGTATAACGAACCAGTTTTTTTTTGTTTTTATTTTTTGACACATTTGAGATTTTCTCTTTGTATGTGATTCAGCGTTTTAACTATAATCTGTATAGTGATGCATGTCTTGATGTTTATCCTGGATGAGTTCCAATTTTTTTGATCTTATAGACTAATGTGCTTCATTACTCTTGACACATTTACCAATAGTTCTCAGATCTCTCAGGTGTGCTACCTCCCAGAGACGCTTTCTGTGTGGTTATTCTCTGCATTTCACTCTACTGTGTTGCTGTACATTCTCTTTTGATGTTATGTCTTAGGCAATTTCCAGAGCAGCCTCAGGCCAGGCTCCGGAGTGTGGGTGCACTTGTAGTGACAGCAGCTCTGGGCCTGGACCTGGACTGGTCCACATGGAAGTGGCTCAGGGTCTGAGTTGCCAATACAGGTGGAGGTCCTGCAGCTTGGATCTGGGATGATGCAGAGTTGGAGCTGGGAGGCAGCCCCATCCCAGGCAGCACAACAGAGGCTGCTTCTTGGGAGGATGTGGAGGGAAGTTATTGCAGCATCTTTCTCTCTATGGTGATTTACATGCCCATGGCTGCAGGTTTTTTTAGTGCCAAAAATCACCAGTGTCCACTTTGGAGCAAGCTACTGTGATCCTCATCTATGAACACTAAGGGAACTTCATCAGGAAAGTTGTAAAGTGGAGGCTGCCTCAGGGATACTGAGATTGTCAGCTGCAAAGGCTACAGGGTCCTCCACGAAACAGGCCATGGGGACTGCAGTGGCCTTGCCTCCTGGCTGATAACAATTGCCTCCTGCTTCTTTACTCTTAGATGTCTCAAAACTCTCAGGCTTGCCATCTCCCAGCAATTCTTTCTGTATGGTTATTCTGGGCTTATTTGCCCACTGTGTTTCTGCACTTCTTTAATTGGACCCTTGAGCTCTCCAAGGGCTATTTTCCTTTTTGGAGAGTTGTCTAATTATAGATTTTGCTTTCGTTTTTTTGTGTTTGTGTTTTTCTGGGGGTAGGCATGTGAAGGCTGTTATCTCCTATTCTGTCATCTTGCTAATATCACTCCCCCAGGACATCATTTTGAGGGTACCCTAACACTATCATGGAATAATACTTGAGCATGAGAATTAGACTATTTAGCATGTGTGAGGAATGTGAATTGCTTTGGTCACAGGGTGCACTGATGCCTGTTGTATCCTCTATGATGCCTGTGAGAAGAGCCCGCGTCGTACAGTTCCTTCTAACAGCGTGATTTTGATGCTCCTCCCATTAAACCTACTGACTTACACTTCATTTCTGTTGACTCTTGGTGGGGTTCAGACAGTGGTAGAAGTAACACTATTTGTCTTCTGAGGCTATAAGAGGCCATTTAGTGTACATAACTTCTGTCTACTCCTTTTAGGAAAGTGTTGAGGAAACCAAGTCCCGGTATGAACAAGCAAAGAGCCCCAGTTGAGAACCCTATATCCTGTATCAATCACCTTTGTGATGATACCTCCCCACCTACCCTCTGACTGCATTCTTTGAAAAGCCTGGCAGAAAATTTGGTGAGCCCAGGCAACATCCAGAACCACAGAGATGATAGAAACATGATTGCAGTTTACATGTGTGATTACATTTCAGAATAGTTTGTATTGTGTCCATCAATAGTACCCAGAATATCAACTTATAGAAAGAATATGGAAGTAGAAAGTCAACTATTGATAGTCAAATGAATGTGGGTCCATTTTGTATTTCTTATAGTTTTTTTGCAACTTGTCTCTGACATAATGGTAAAATAAAAAGTTATAAAGAGGATATGCAAATTACAAAAGGTTATGGAAAAACAATCAAGGAGACACAATAAATGGAAAGTTACTTCATGTATATATATTAGAAACCTCAATATTATAAACATAAATCTCCCCAAATTAATTCAATACAGTGTCAATCAAAATCACTGGGAATTTTTTTTTGAAATTTGTTTTGTTGTTGTTTTTTTTTTTTTTTGAGGCGAAGTCTCGCTCTGCCGCCCAGGTTGGAGTGCAATGGCCGGATCTCAGCTCACTGCAAGCTCCGCCTCCCGGGCTCACGCCATTCTCCGGCCTCAGCCTCCCGAGTAGCTGGGACTACAGGCGCCCGCCACCTCGCCCGGCTAGTTTTTTGTATTTTTAGTAGAGACGGGGTTTCACCGTGTTAGCCAGGATGGTCTCGATCTCCTGACCTCGTGATCCGCCCGTCTCGGCCTCCCAAAGTGCTGGGATTACAGGCTTGAGCCACCGCGCCCGGCCTGAAATTTAAAAGATTTTCCTAATTAGATGGACAAGCAAAGAGGCAAAAAAATAGTGATGGTAATCTTACATGAGGAAAACAAGATGGAAGGGTGAACACTTCTCACTATGAAATCCTATATTGGATAACCACACTGTGGTTGGGTGCAGTGATTCATGCCTGTAGCTGTTGCAGTTTGGGAGGCTGAGGTGGGTTGGTAGCTGGAGCTCAGGAGTTTGAGATCAGCCTGGCAAACACGATGAAACCCCACTGCTACAAAATGCATTTAAAAATTAGCAGAGCATGGTCATGCATGCCTGTGGTCTCAGCTACTTGAGAGGGTGAGGTAAGAGGATCGTTTGAGCCTGGGAAACAGAGGTTCCAGTGGGCTGAGATCGCAGCACTGTACGCCAGCTTGGGCAACAAAGAAAGACTTTGTCTCAAAAAATCATGAATTTAAAAATTTAAAAATTGTTGTTTTAATGAGACAGATAACCCAGTGCAATGAACTAGAGACTCTGAAACCAACTCTGCGTATGTACAGTCACCCAATTCACAATGAACTAGAGACTCCGAAATCAACTCTGCATATGTGGTCACCCAATTCACAATGAACTAGAGACTCCAAAACCAACTCTGCGTATGTACAGTCACCCAATTCACAATGAACTAGAGACTCTGAAACCAACTCTGCGTATGTACAGTCACCCAATTCAGCAATGAACTAGAGACTCTGAAACCAACTCTGCATATGTACAGTCACCCAATTCACAATGAACTAGAGACTCTGAAACCAACTTTGCATATATGCAGTCACCCAATTCACAGTGAAGGTCCTACAGCAATTGTCTCAAGTGGCTTGTACTGAAAAAAATATTAGACGGGGTAATTAATTAATTGCTCTAGTGAAGGATGAGACAAGTAAACCAGTTCAATGAGTTAGTGAATCTGAAACCAATTCTGCATATATATAGTCACTCAATTTACAATGAAAGTCCTACAGCAATTGTCTCAAGGCGCTTGTACTGAAAAAATATATTACACCGGGTAATTAACAATACAAATTTATTTTCTCACTGTTATGGACACTGAGAAGTCCAGGGTCAAGGCACTGGCAATCTCGGTGTCTGATGAGAGCTACTTATGCTCCCAAGATGGCACCTTGTGGCTGAATCATCACGTGGTGAAGATGGGAGGGCCAAAGGGGTAACTCTATGTGAAGCCACTTTTATTAGGCATTAATTTTATTCTTGAGTGCAGAGCCCTCACAACCTAATCACCCAAGAGGTCCAACTTCTAATACTGTTGCCCTGAAAACTCACTTTGAATGGGAACTTTGGAGGGGACACAAAAAAATCAGATCATAGCAGTAATTTGTTAGAAAAAAATATGATAACTCAAATATATTGGATCAATTAGATATCCATATTAAATCAATGAATCTTAGCCTGTATATTTTACGTACACATGGATACAAATATTAATTCCTAATGAATCATAACCTGAAATGTAAAAGTAAAAAATATGAAGCTTTTTAAAAATAGCATGAAAACATATTTCATGAGTATACATATAAAAACAGATTTCATAAAGAAGATACACAAATCTCTAAGCACACACACACAAAAAAAATTAATCAACTGGTTCTTCCTTGAAAACTCAAAAAGCCAGAATGGTTTCTTTCCTCCAAATGACTGCATCACCTCTCCACCAAGGGTTCAGAATTGGGCTGAACATGAGATTGCCGAAATGACAGAAATAGGAATAGGAATAAAGTTAATTGAGCTACAGGAGTATTTTGTAACCCAATTCAACAAAGCTAGCAATAATAAAAAATCATTTCAGGAACAGACAAAATAGCCAGTAGAGAGAAGCACATAACCAGCATGATAGATCTGAAAAACACACTACAGGAATTTCATAATGCAATCACAAGTATTAACAGCACAATAGACCAAACGGGGAAAAGAATCTCAGCACTTGAACACTGACTTTCTGAGATAAGATTGGCAGGCAGGAGGAGAGAAAATATAATGAAAAGGAATTAACGAAACCCCCAAGAGATATTGGATTATGTAAAGGGAACCATTCTACGACTGGTTGGTATACCTGAAACAGATGGGGCAAATGAAGCAAACTTGGAAAACGTATTTCAGGATATCATCTATGAGGACTTCCCCAACCTATCTAGAGAGGCCAAAATTCAAATTCAGGAAATTCGGAGAACCCCAGTAAGCTATTCCACAAGAAGATCATTCCCAAGACACATCTTCAGATTCTCCAAGGTGGGAATGAAAGAAAAAATGTAAAGGCACCTGGAGAGAAAGGCCCGCTCACCTACACAGAAAACCCATCAGACCAACAGTGGATCGCTCAGCAGAAATCCTACAAACTGGAAGAGATTGTGGGTCAATATTCAACATTCTCAAAGAAAAAAAAAAAGCATTTTGTATCTGGCCAAACTAAGCTTCATAAGTGTGGAGAAATAACGTCATTGTAAGGCAAGCAAATGCTGAGGGAATATGTTACCCCAAAAACTCTCTTACAAGACCTCCTGAAGGAAGTACTAAGTATGGAAAGGAGAGATCATTACCAGCCACTATAAAAACACACAGAAGTACTCAGACAAGCGACACAATAAAGCAACCACATAAACAAGTCTGTGAAATAACCAGCTAACATCATGACGATAGGATCAAATCCACACATACTCACACTAGCCTTAGATGTAAATAGGCTAAATGCTCCTAAAAAAGACATGGAGTGAAAAGCTAGAAAAAGAACGAAGACTCTTTAGTATCCTGTTTTCAAGAGACTCATCTCACATGCAATGACACACATATGCTCAAAATAAAGAGAAGGAGAAAAATTTACCAAGGAAATGGGAAACAGAAAAAGCAGTTGTTTCAGTTTCTGACAAGACAGACTTTAAACAAAGATCAAAAAAGACAAAGAAGGGCAAAATCTTCAGGCTCCAGGCAGCTGATGGTGACAGTAAAGTCTGTCTCCGACCCATGACCACTGAACCCCTCTGGGATGCCAGTGGCCCTGCTGGATGCACCATAGATGAGAAGCCAGGGAGCCTCCCCAGGTTTCCGCTGATACAAGGCTAAGGAGCTTCCAATGTTCTGACTGCACCCACAGACAAGAGTGTCTCTTTACCCTGAAGACAAAGACAAGGAGTCAGGAGACTGCATCAACATAACTCCTCTGGAGGTACCTGAGATTGGAATAAAATAGGAAAGTTTTAAACTTTCCCATATAAACTACATCAAGCGCACCATCCTCATAATATAGCCACAGTCACTGATCTACATTGAATTATAATTACTGTTCTTGCTCAGCAGAGATGTCAGGTCAGAGGAACCAAGAAGGTTGAGAGAGTTTCAATGCAGAGTCATCTCCCTTTCCCCTCACCTGGGAGCTAGAGCACAGGAGGCAGAGAAGCTGAGCTGGGGCTTCCATGAGGCTTTCTGGGTCCTAACTGAGCAGCTCTTCCCCTGAGATCTGACCCAGGCATTGATATGGGCTCTGGACAGCAGCATGGCTGGGAGGAACATTCAAAGAAGCACAGGAAGATGATGAGCTTCCAGCTGCAGAGACCACCTGCCTCCTCTTCTTTGCACTGAGAAGCCCCTGGCCAGGTGGTGAGGTCAGAAAAGTTATTGGCTCAGCATGGGGGTAGACCTTCTACCCTCTGGATACACAGTTAAATCCCTGTCCTCCTACCTCACCAATCACCTAGGCTAAGACAGATGGTGTTTAGCACAAATCTCTTGAAAGAAAAAATAAAAAATCTATGGTTTATTTTTCTCTTTCTTCCCCTAACATGCCCAGTCATCTTCCTTGCTGCATGATTGTACCTGGCTGAAGGCATTGATCAGAAATTCATCTTCCATACACACTTTTCCTTCACAGCTTAGACATCTTTTCTATGAACACTGAAAATGTTCCATTCTTTGGAAGGACTAGTAAAGGACAGCACTTCTTTAGGCCAAGCACTGTGAGTTCATGAATGACCACAGCTGCAAAGGTAAGCAGACTCTAGGCTCAGACTCATTACTGTGTGATTCCACTCCTTGCAGAGTGATGGTGATGCTGTCCTGCTGGCCAGGAAAAATGGGGGTGGCATCTTCTCTTCTCTACAGCACTCCATTCTGTACAACACAGCCATTCTCCCAGAATCAGACTCTTTTCCCTTTAACAGTTTTGAAAACCTCTCTTCACACCACTGATGGAAACAAAAATCTTATCTGGTGTTTTCTTGTTTTCCTCAGAATTGCGAACATGTAGTTGTGAGTGAGGTGCCCCTGAACAGGCTGAGAAGCTCTTTGACTCATATTCTAATTAAAATTATTAATAACAATTGTGAAAATCTGTTTTCTTTCTTATCTATATATCTAAGTAATGTATTCAGTTTTCTTTCTTTGCTAACAAAACTGAAATATCAATTGTCTGACTCCTGATATAATCTGATATGTTGTGTCTTTTAAATGGAAAGTCAATAAATTTACTATTGTTACAACTTATGTAGTATATATTATACGTCATTACATATGTAGTATAATATAATCAATTAAATACAATAATGTTACATTATTATTATATGTTTTCAGGAAATACAACCTAAAATATCACTTGAGACAAATTATGTAAGTTCTGAGAACTGTAAGTTTCCTTATTTCCTAAAGACTGGGTATGAAAAAGGAATAAAAAAAGGAAAAGGGAACATTGTCCGTTTAACAAGCAGTTTAATCCACTCTTTACAGTCCTCCCAGACTTCCAGATATGCAGACTCCTGGGAAGAGTGGCCCCCGCTGAGCACCTACTGTTTGCCAGGTACTCCCATTACACTGGGATACAGCAATGCAAATAATAGACAATGACCCCTGATCCCATGAAGCTTAAATTCCACTAGAGGGAGTCAGCCTATCAAGTGTAAAATCATAAGGAAATAAATTATATCATAAGTCAGAAGGTGCTTCTGACAAAAGCATGCTTCTGACAAAAGCGTGGATTAGGGTGGAGTCCTATGAACACATGGGGATCATTAAGATGGGAAGCACAGGGTTGGCTTTGGGAACCAGGGAAGGAGCCCAAGGGTCTGGGGAAACGCATCACCCCTGCGGGAGCAGTGAGAATAGAGCTCAAGGGCGGGGCAGTGTGAGGCTTGTTTAGGGCAGAACCAGGAAACCAGAGAGTTGAGAGCCCGATGAGTCAGGTCAGAGCCATGAAAGGGTTTTTATGATTAACAGGGAGGATTCAGGGAAAATGGGGCCAAGTAGGCATTGGAAGGAACTGGCCTTTTACTCTGATCATTCTCTTTGGCTAGGTCTGTTCGGAATAGGACCTTGGCTGCTCAACTGTAAGCAGGTGCCTTAGAAAATCAGACAGGTTCTCCAGGCAGAGAGCATCAGCAGCCCCGGGCTTCCCAGATATGTCTGAGGACCACGCGATTGGCAATTATACCTTCTGAAGTGGTAGATACACTCTGGATTCATGGCAAGATCCAGAGAATCCCTCTTTTTGGCATTTGCATCTTTATTCCCATGCCCCCAATACTTTTAAAGACTGTAGTTTAGACTCTCATTCCTGTTTTTAGAAAAACAATTCTACTTGGAATTCCAAGAGCGGTGTCTCCTTTATGATATTAATTCCAACTCACACCATAACTCAGACTTCGTAGGTGTAATCATCCCTGTTCTTAATGCGATTAGGAGAGGGTTTGCCATGTCTGTGCTGCTGGGGATGAGGAGAAGGAAAGATAGTTAAGGTATAGAGGAGACTTCATGGCACTTTCTACAGAAACTTCAATGTGTGGATGCAATTTGGGAAATGTTCTCAGCAGATGGAGGCACCAAGAGGAGTAGCTGGGGCAGTGCGGACTCACACATCTGCTTCCCTGGGGGTTTTTGTTATGGCTTGTAACACTGTGGACGGGGTAGTATAATCCTGTTGACAGTAATAAGTTGCAACATCTTCAGGCTGCAGGCTGCTGATGGTGAGAGTGAAATCTGTCCCAGATCCACTGCCGCTGAACCGCGATGAGACCCCCGTCTGCAAACTGGAGGCAGCATAGATCAGGAGTGTAGGGGCTTTCCCTGGTTTCTGCTGATACCAGTCTAACTCCTTGTTAATGCTTTGACTCGCCCGGCAAGTGATGGTGACTCTGTCTCCTACAGACGCAGACAGGGAGGATGGAGACTGGGTCATCTGGATGTCACATCTGGCACCTGAGTTTGGAAACATAAAAACAAACATCCACACAGTCAGTCATGCTATATAAAGCCCTCCCCGAAAATCCAGCCAGTACTGAGCACACTGGCTGAGTAAATGCCTAGTGTTCTCCTTCCTTACCTCGGAGCCAGAGCAACAGGAGCCCCAGGAGCTGCACGGGGACCCTCATGTCCATGCTGTGTCCTGTCTGAGACTGACTCCTGCACAGGGTGTGACCAGGCTACAAAAAAGTCTTCAGGGCAGGGAGGGGTCTGTGCTCTGGGAACATGCAAATCAGCAGGGGATGGGGCTGGCTGGGCACAGCTGCAGGCCTGGTTCATCTCAGTAACTCAGCACAGGGGCAGTGTCCCCAGGGTCTCAGGCTGGACCAGGGCAACACAGATTTGCCTTTAATCTGTTTCTTTCTGGGGGTCAATTTGTAACAAAGAACATTTTTTGATCATTGTCAAAGTTTGAAGTACTGCTGAGTACTTGAGGGAGTAATGTATTCCATTGGCATATGGGGATTATTTAGGAGAAAATTATTCTCTGTAGGAAACTCAAAGTAAAGTTTTGAGTGTGGTATCAGCAGGTCTTCAAAATACTCTGAAAGAGAGGGGGATACTTTGTGGTATAGTTACAACATTCCTGTGAATGCGTAATTATTCCTTCTTAAAAAAAAGAAGAAAAATATCAAGATAATGCTAAATATATTTGTAAATATTCTATAATAACCTTAAGCCATTCTTATTACCAGTATAAGGTCAAACAATTCATTGCAGGTGCACAAAGATGGTGCTGTAAGTCCTCAATGTGTGTATCATTTACAGTTCCACATTTATGCAAACCTATAGGCCTCAATAATGCCCAGAAAATATGTGAGTTGCATCTTATTTTTGCTTTGGGGATCTCTATATTATGCCTCCTTTTCTGTCATTGAGTATTTTCCCCAGCGTTTATCAGCAGAAAGGGCTGACTAGTGGTGCTGGATCTGATTACTTAAAAAAAAAAAAAGTTACGGCCGGGCACAGTGGCTCACGCCTGTAATCCCAGCACTTTGGGAGGCTGAGGTGGGCGGATCACAAGGTCAGGAGATCGAGACCATCCTGGCTAACACGGTGAAACCCCGTCTCTACTAAAAATACAAAAAATTCGGCAGTCATGGTGGCAGGTGTCTGAAGTCCTAGCTACTCGGGAGGCTGAGGCAGGAGAATGGCGTGAACCTGGGAGGAGGAGCTTGCAGTGAGCCGAGATTGTGCCACTGCACTCCAGCCTGGATGACACAGCAAGACTCTGTCTCCAAAAAAAAAAAGAAGAAAAAACGTTACTTGTTTCTTCCTCCAATTATATGAGCATGGATATAGATAAACTTGAAATTATCTAAGGATCAATTGTCTCCAAAGTAAGAAGACCAATATTATATTTACTAAGTAACAGTCTGAGTGGCACTGCTCACCAGCATGTTCCTGGGGACTCCGGAGCAGCTCCTCTGGAGCCTGAATTTCGTACAGTGAACCCTGTCTCCTAGTGAGGGCAGCTGCTGCTCAGCGCATGTCCCTTCCTTGCACTATCAATGCCACTTTTCTCTTTCACTGGTTAGCAGTAAGTGGGGACATTCTGATCAAGATGCCAGCCTCCTGTCTGACATCCAGGACAGAGAGTCTCCATCTCCTATCAAGCAAATGCCCATGTATATGGAGAAATCACTTGGATTTGGATAAAACTGGACACAGATTTGGACCCATTATATCTCACATCATCTCAGCCTGGTTCAGCAGCAGAGGAAGTGGATCCACCTACATCAGCATCAGTGGGCTGCAGCCTGGGATTCTGGGGAGTATTACTGATTCATGAGTAGAAGTGGCCAAATGACTCTGGTGTAGCATCTGCACACGCCCTCCTGCTGCCCATTCAGGGGCCTGAATTTTAAGGAAACTTGCTTGTGTAGAGTGAAATGTGAAAGTTTGATTTCGCCCTCTAAAAGTTTGCTTAAAATGAATGGACAAAAGACAAATAATAGGAGAAAAAGGGAAACAAATTTATTTAACATGCAGAAGAAAAAATCACAGGAGAGAGATACCCAGATAACCCAGTGAGGTCCAGGTGTTTATACATCCTTTATAGGGGAGAGGGAGGTGGGGACTGTAGGCAACCTAGGGAGAGTAAGTGGCGTAACATAAAATAAATGGGTCCTTAAAAGAATAGATAATTGACTGGATGAAGTCAATTTCCAATCTCTTTTGAATTTAACTTTTAGTGCATGTTAATATTCCCTGATAGATCAACATTCCCAGGGAAGGTTTTCATGACAATTGGCTTCCTTCTAGAGTAACTGATGTAGGAAGAGTCTTTGTCCAATTGATGTTTTCTAAATGCTTTCAGTTTGAAATAGGCACCACACAGATGCAGCATATCTTGAGATGTTATCTCCCAGATTCCTTCTCTTGCAACTGACCTGCCAGGAAACACCATTCCAGAGGGACGCAGCTCCAGGTGGAAAGTACGGGTGCTTTTTTCTGGATGGATGCATCAGTCCATGTCTGCATTCAGGCCTTTTGCTTTCACTGTGCTTCTGCTGGTTCCCCATTCCCACCTCTGTCCCTGACTGCTGTCTCTGAGAAAAGCAGCTCTGCCTGCATGCATGGCAGACCACAGGGCTTGGAATGAGCCTTCCCTCGGTCAGTGCTATGGTTTCACTGTGTCCCCTTGAATCTACCTGCTGTTACCTTAATCCCAAAGGCAACAGAATTGAGAGACAGGGCCTAATGGGAAGTGTTTAATCATGAGGGTTCTGCCCTCATGAATAGATATATGCCACTATAAGCAGTGCTTATGTTATGGAAATAAACTGGATTTAGATCACTCAGTGTAGTATAACCAATTATCCACACTGAGTTTGCAGCAGGAAAAAGGAAGGCATTTATTTGCGGGCATCAAGCAAAGAGGACCGGCAGCTAACGCCTCCATCCTGACCTGCCTGATGGCTTACAGATAAGGGTTTTTTAAAAGGAGAAATAAACTTCGGGAAATCAGAAGTTACAGGCAAAGTTAGAAATCATTACATGGAGGTTACACTTTGTTTTTGGCCTAAGAGGGCAGGATATCATGAAGCAGTGGGATATCTTACAAGACATCAATAGATCCAAACATTTTCTGATGTGCAATTGGTTTAGAAAAGAAGCTTTGTTTAAAAATTTGGAGTCAGCTTGAAAGAATATTCGCCCTGGCCCATGGATGTGGTTTTTTTTTTTTTTTTTTTTTTTCTGAGACTGAGTCCCACTCTGTCGCCTAGGCTGGAGTGCACTGGCGTGGTCTCAGCTCACAGCAACCTCCACCTCCCAGGTTCAAGTGATTCTCGTGTCTCAGCCTACAGAATAGCTAGGACCACAGGCGCCTGCCACCATGCCTGGATACTTTGTGTGTGTGTGCCAGGATCTCATTCTGTCACCCAGGCTGGAGTGCAGTGGCACCATCGTAGTTCACTGCAGCCTTGAACTGGGCTAAGCCTCCCAAGTAGCTGGGACTGCAGGCACTCATCATCATGCCCAGCCAAAACTGAAGACTTAATGGACTATGTGGTGGATAAGTCACTGCTGAAGAGAGACCTAGGGAGGCAGAAGGGAGGACTGTAGAAGTTACCCAGTGAGCAGCACAGGCCCTTGGTCAGTGTGAGGGAGGCTGAGCTGGCAGAAAGAGGACAATAAGAAGGAGGCCTAGCAGGCATCTGAAGAGTCCAGAAGGAAGGGCCCGAGGAGGAGATGGCTTCAACTTTTCCAGAATTGCTAACTACGGGGCCCTGGGAGTCGCGGAGCATGATGGCGAAGGGGCAGTGAGAGCCTGAAGTTCTGGAGGGCAGAGCCCGTGTACTGGACAGAGCCGCACTCCAGGATGGCGAAAGGGCAGTGAGAGGCTGAGTTCTGGAGGGCAGAGCCGTGTGTTGGACAGAGCCTCACTCCTTGAGGGAGAAGGGCATTTTGTCACTGATCATCTTGCGCTCGGGGTTGAGGCGCCTGAGGATCTGGGCCAGTACGTTCACTGTCTGCTCGCTGATCAGCCCTGTCTTCTTGGTCTGGAACTTTTTCAGCAGGTCCTTAGTGGTCATGGGCGTCCCTGTCAGGTAGCGGCGCACGGCATCCTCAGTCACCTGCAGGTCGCTGCTGCTGGGTGTTGACTTGCCGGATGGCGGCTAGGGGGTCGACTTCCCGGACAGGCTCTGGGGCACCGCGTCCAGCCGCAACCGCTTGGCTGCAGGCATCTCGCTCACCCGCTTCCCTTGCTGGTAGCCGCCCGCAGGGTGGAGGAGGTGCTGCCACCCTCTGCGCTGGGCGTGCCTGGGCGGCTGTTGCCCCTCCAGTTCCCTCCCGACGGCTTCCACTCTATCGTGGATGGCGTCTTCTTCTTCGCCATGAAGAGGGCCGAGGAGGCCTAGCTGTCAATATCGCTCTCCTCTGAGCTGTCCGACTCCTAGCTGCTGTCTTTCCTGCCCTTCTTCTCCTGCGGGGTGGGCGCCTTCTTCTCCTCCTCCTACTCCTTGTCCTCCTCGGGCGACTTCTCCTCCTCACTCTCCTCACTACTGTTGCTCTGCTCATCAACACCCTTGGGCCCCTCCTCCTGCTGGGGCGCCTTGGCCTTGCCCCCAGGCTCATCCTGGGAGCTGCTGGGGCTGTCCGACACGTAGTTCACCTCCTGGCCCTCGAAGTCCCCATCACGGCTGTCCTCGAAGGCCTCATCGTCTGAGCCCTTCTTCTTCTTTTTCCTGCCGCCCTTGGCCAGTGGCTCCTTGTTCTTGGCCTTGGGGGCTCTGCCGCTCTCCTCACCGCTGGCGTGGCTGGCATCGGATGACATCTCCAGGTCGTGGATGCGCAGCTCGTTTGCCTTCCTGCGACCGCGTTTCTCCTTCTCCTCGTCCTCGTCCTGGTCCTGATCCTTGAGCTGCCGCTGCCGCATGATGCTGAAGTGGTTCCGCACCTTGTTCCTCCTCTCCCACTCCTCCTCGGCCTCCTCGGCAGTGAGCGTGTGGTGCCTACCGGGCCAGCAGCGTGAAATTGTACCAGTTGTGCACGGGGAAGGCCTCCAAGGCCCCGTCAGGGCACTGGGTGAAGATATAGTAAGGCGTGTTCTCCGTCACCCTCCCTTCTTGATGCCCTTGAACTTCCTGCCCGATTTGCCGTTGACCCGGAGCAGCCAGGGCTGGTCCTCGGGCCCGAACTTCTCGAG